AGACTACTTTGTTAATATGCAGGGATTAGTGCGGAGAGATGACAAATACTTGGTCAGCCTGCTTGGAAAACCACAGCCTTTCCAAAAACCAGCATTCATGATTGTTCCCGTGACTTAAGACTTGACAGAGTCTATTGTCTGGGAACTCAAAGCACCTTAATACTTGGTATTAGCTCAGATGGGAAAGTTCAGAGCTTCTGATGACCACTCCCAGCTCTCCCCACTGTATGACCCTCCTTGTCAAAGCCCAAAGCCCATAGGGTCTCCAGTCCATGCTCCCACCATGGGACCGTTCCGCCAACCTGTTAGAATTACAAGGGCTGCCCCAGGAGAGCCAGGTGACTGACCTGGTGCCACCTATTAGTTCCTGGGCAAACACTGTGTCATGAGCACAGGGACACTGCGTGTGGTCCCACCGGCTGTGACCGTGAGTCATGCTGGGCCCTGCCCATGTTCTTGCAGAGGCAGGGTGCACCCACCACCCTCTGCCAGCTGCTCACTCAGAAACCCAGGGCCTCCCACACCCAGAGGAATGGGAAAGAAGAGCAACTGGCGCCTGCCCGGCACAGGACAGGTGTGCTGCTTCTGTGGGCCGGTGCCCTGACCCCTGTCACTGTGCACCCCGTCTTTGGGACATTGAGACCTGGAGACATAGCTCAGCAGCTTTGCCCTGCTCTCTAGACTTGCCCCATCCACCAGAACCAGCCCTTGTTGCTGAGGATGATCAGAAACCTCTTCTTTCCCAAGGCCGCGCTGATCCTGGTCCTGGACCTGGCTGTCACCTCTGGCATCGAATTTGTGCTGCGTGGAACACTGACTCCCTCCCTGCACTCCACCTGTCTCCTGGCCCAGCCCTGTGCCTGGGCGGATTTCCAGCTCTGCCCTGAGTTCCTCCTGTCTCCCACTCCTGGGACCAGGAAATGAGCCCCACGGGCATCCACACAGCTGGAGGAAACAAGATGAGATAAAGCAGCCTCCTCTGTGGGCCCGGAGAGCGGCTCCCAGCAAAGCCAACCCAGAGCAGCGAAGGAGCAGAAACGATCAGGTAAAAAGTGTTTCAGAAGCAAAGATGGAGGGAAGAGGTTGAATGCCACAGGCTGTGAGTCACCACCCTTCAATCAATAGAGGAAACAGGCAAGAACTCTTAACTGCTACAGGTTAGCTCACCATAAAAATACCCCATTTAAAATCGCACTCCAGGGCCGGGGATTTAGCTCAGCGGTTCCACCATCTGCCTTGCAAGCACAAGGACCCAAGTTTGATCCCTGGTACCAAAAAAATAAAATAAAATCGCACTCCATTAAGGAAGGTTAGGGAACATTTCCCTGGGCCTCCAGGAAGGTGACCCGACACAGAGTTGGGGAACGGCCTTACTCAAACAGGTCACAGAAGGGCGTCTTCCCAGCAGGGGTGAATTCTAACAGAGGCATAAAACTCCATGGAGCAAATGGCAGCACTTCCCACGGCCTTTCCGCGGGAGCACAGGCTCCCCTCTGCAGAGGCTGGAGGGGCCTGGAGTCACCTGGCTCCGGCCCTCCCCACAGAGGTCTGGAACCACTGGGCCTGTTTCCAACTGGGTTCGTGTCACCTGTACACACACGTGCGCACACACACACGCACAGTGATGCTCCCAAAGAAGACAGCAATCAAATCTCAAGAAAGGAGGCTGTGTCTGGTTTTAAAGGATGACCAATATGTGCCTCTGGTCTGCTAACGGAAATGAGTGTAAAAGAAGCACCCCAGAAACCTTCACATTGGTGTGCATTCGCAGACCACACAGCTAGTGGCAGTGCCTTGAATGAGGCCTTAAAAAGGCACTGAAAACCAGGCATAACAGTGCACACCTGTAACCCCAGCACTCAAGAAGGCTGAAGCAGGAGGGCTGCAAGTTCAAGCCCAGCCTGAGCAACTTGGAGACTTAGTAAGGCCCTGTCTCAAAATATAACCTTTTTTAAGACGATTGGGGATGTTGCACATTGCAAAAGCCTGGGGTCAATCTGCAGCACCACAAGGAGGAGGAGGAGGAGGATCACACACAGTATCAGTGTTAGAAAAGGGATGAAGTTCTGAGCAATTGAATCCACAGGAAAATCTGCTCCCATCAACCAGCTGGCTGCTGGAAAGATTGCCTCCAGCCTATAAAAATGATTTCACCGACAGATGTCTGCTCTGCCCTGCTACGCTTGCAGAGCATACAGCAGATCCGCCTCCAACAGAGACTTTAGCAAGTCAGCAACCCACTGAGGACATCCAGGGAACTGTGGTGGAGGGGCCAGCGCCAAACCCTTGACAGGCGTCCCATTTGGGAGGCACACCCTGGAACCCACCCCGCCTCACCTGTTTTTGAATTAACATCTGAAATTATATATGCTAGAATTTTTGGTATATTGTAAATAATAACTCTACAAACTGCTATGTTATATAATCAGGTTTAAGATCATAATTGTTTGATACCTGGCATCATTCGCTCCAAAAAGTGAGAAAGCTTTTTTTATTTGGCACATACCGGAAATACCGGCTAGGGTGGCTTGTTGGTTCTGGTTTGTACGTGTGTAGACTATACCTTGGCCATTTCCAACCCGGTTACCCTGTCTCCTTGTCCTCCCTCCTCCTGAGCCCCTTTCCACCTCTAAAATCTCCCTTCTAGAAGAAAGCTCTACTCTTAACACCTGGAAATTTAGCTTCTTTCTTTGTTCTGTTTGAAATTAGGTTTCTCATCTGCTTCTCCACAGACACACAAAAAAACTATCCTGATATATTTTTTGGTAAGACTTTTTGTTTCTAAACTCTTGGATCACTCCATCATACCTGCAATAATATATACTTTTTAATTTAACAATTTGTGTCATTTCCTGTACCTAAAGATGTTTTAAATTCTTAGACTGCATTATCTCTATGATGGTTGTTTAACACAATGATCACAGTGAAATAAATGTTAATTGTGACAATACTGGAAACACATGTCCTAGAGATATGGATCGTGACTGGACTTTTCTGAATATAGATTTGGCCACTGACCCATAACCTTACTTTTTGTTAATGAGTTTAAAAGTTTTAAAATTTCATAAGCTGAAATAAGCATTGATTGCAACAGGAATGAATATTTCATACATAGTTTTATACTATAGTTTTACACTACTAATTCGGGGGGGAGCACATCAAAGTTTTATCTGTGTGTTTTGCTAATGTATCTTGGAAAAGCTTCCTGTTTTAAACGGATTCATGTCGCCACCCTACCTTGTTGGGCAGAGGTACTCACTTTCTAGATGCAAGGAGAACACACTACTTCTCTGCAAACAGCGGAGAGAAAGGTTTACCTTTAAGTGTCCTGAAGGCTGCTGCATCCCCGTTCTTCTCGCTGATGGTCTTGCTCCACCTCCCAAGGCCCTGCAGTCCGCGGTGGCACTGAAGAACTCAGGTCGTTAGACACAGTGTGGCTTCTGCACCGCGCACTGAGCCCGAGCTCCCAGCGCCGGGGTCACTGTCCTTTTCAGAAGTCGGAGTAAAACCAGAGAGGAGCGGAGCCTGGGGCTCGGGGGCCCTCCTTGGCTGTCAGAGGCAGCGCCCCCTCTGTCAGGGACCTGGGGTTTGCATACCCGGGCAGGTCGCCCCGCACGGTGTGAAGTGAGTGGGAGATGCAGGCGGGCACGGGCGTGGGCCCATTCTCTAGGAAAGAAGGTCTATTGCCGTGCGGGGCTGGGAGGCCCCGAAATGGTTAGACGCCGACAGGGGAGCTGGGAGGAAGGCCTGACCCCGAAGGGGTCAAAGGGCAGAAAGGACTGCGGGGACCCACCAGGGACTGAGCAGCTTACCAGTGGTAGCTGCAAGAGGCATAGTCTCGTTGCTTGTCTGTCGCGTTCCTCCCTCACTGCTCTGGCAGTGACACGGCAAGGCCCTGCGGGGCCGCAGGCTCAGCCCGGTGGGCCGGGCTCCAGAGGGCCGGTCGGACAGACTGGGGGTGCCCGGCGGGGTGCAGCCCTTGACTGTAATGCAGAGGGAGAAACAAGAACTGGACGCATTTTTTTCAATGACGTTATCGGTATATTTTAAGTGTACAGTACGGTGACATTCATCATTGGGAATTTGTACCTTTACATGATGTATCTTGGTTCTTCTCTTTCCCCACCCCCCTGCCCTCCTTTTAACCTCTTCCTCCTCCCTATTTACATAGACCTTGTTCCTGTTTTTCCCTTTTCTCATATTTTTTCCTTTCCCTTCATTCCTTTCCCCTACCCCTGTTTCTTCCCTAACCCTTTGTACCTTTTCTTCCTATTTCACATTATCTATTATACATTTTGGTCCTCATTTACACTTTCATTTTCTCACACCAGAGAAACTATTCATTATTTACACGTCTGCCCTATTTATTTCACTTAACAGTGTGATCTCAATAGGAATCCATTCAACTATAAATGTCTCTAGTTTCTCATTTTTTATGGCTGAGTAGTACTCCATTTTATAAACACATGCATGTGCGTGCGCGCGCGCGCACACACACACACACACACACACACACATCTTTACCCAGTCTCCAGTTGATGGGCAATTGGGCTGTTTCCAAGTTTTAGCTATTACAAATTGTGCTTCTTTGAACATGGGTGCACATATATCGATGTGGCATGATGCTTTTTTTTTTTTTTTTTTTTTTTGTACCAGGGATCAAACTTAGGACCTTGCGCTTGCAAGGCAGGCAGTAGCACCACTGAGCTAAGTCCCCAGCTGATGCTTTTAATTCTTTTGGGGAGATACCTAGCAAGGAAATGCCTGGGTCAAATGGGACCTCCAGTCCTATGCTTCACTTACTCGGAGAACCCGAGTCAGAGCATGTAAGGATGCACTTCGTGACACGATTTGGAGAGAGTCCTACAGCCAACAGTGCACAAAGCATCTCCTGGGTCCACTGAAAACCTTTAAACTCAGCGTACACCCCACATGCCATGGAACAATCCACCATGGCCGCACACGCTTGGGAAATGTGTGTGCTATGTCCCTTTCTGCAGGTTGCAGTATGCACGGACTTCTGCCAACCCTGAGGAGTCGCCAAGCAGGTGAGCCTGCTCCTTCCTTTAACCAGCACAGCGCACTCTCTGCACAGCAGGATCGCCAGGGTGTGGAATGGATTCTGCAGTGCCGGGTCTGAGAAGCGTGTGTCTCAGGCATGACCCAGAGAGGCAGCGCCTTCTGGTTTGAGCTGGAGGCTGGGGAGGGGCACAGGGAGAAGGGAGCAGGGGCTGGGCAGGGCTGCAGAGTCGCCATGGTGTGCATGGTGTGGATGGGCCTCCTGGTAGAAAGGTAATGAGCAGACGAAAGAATGCGACTGTCCTGAAGTCTGGCGAGAGCGCCTAACTCTTCTTCCAACTCTAAGCCCTTTAAGTTCTTAACTCTTCAAACTCTGTGCTTCTGACCTTCAGGCTTCTGCTTGGTTTGCAACGAGCTCTGTGGCCCGCTCAGCTCCCGTGTGAGCTGCTCAGCGGTGGACCCGGGGTCTCCAAAGCCAGAGACGTGTAGAGCAGTGCCGCTCCTGGATCCTCGACTTCTCCCCACCATGGAGGCCTCTCCGGTTCCAGCTGCAGCCTCACTGAAAAGCTTCTCTTTCGAACCCTACGTAAGTAGAAATGGACATTTTCTTTCAAATACTGTTAGAAGATGACAGCTTCTCAAGATTGCAGGGGACAGGTTTTTGGTATAATCCAAAATTTGAGCTGTAGAAGACTGGGAAGACTGGATGCACTCCAGGTGGAATCGGGCCCTTCGTACGCAAACGTGGGCCACAGACAGGGAAATCTGCAGAACACGGCTCCATGAGTAGTTCTGTCAGCACCGATGACCTCCTGCCTCGCTTGGGAAAGCATTTCGGTAATTCTGCCTATGGAGGAGTCTCGCATTAAATCATCCCTTACGAATATCGGTTCATGTATCTATAGATAGTACTGACAAATTGCAGTCAAGCCTTTGCTTTTGGTTCTGAAAATGAACGGAACAAGCAGCCTGCCACACAACTGGCCACCTCTGACAGACTTGCATCCGACCTGCCACACACCAGTGGGGTGGCTTTCTCCAAATGCCCGTGTCTGTTCATTAGCTTGGGAAACTGCGGAACCGTGTTCTGCTTACTGAAATGCTAAGGCACCACCAGGGGCCTCCTGCCTGACACAGGAAGGGGCTGAGCCCCCATCATGTGCAGGAGCACAGGCTGCAGGGGAAGCTGCAGAGCACAGGCTGCAGGGGAAGCTGCACAGCTGCGGATGTTCATCTCCTTATACATCGTAACGGTTTTTCTCACTGAGCTCTCAGAACCAAGGGCAACTGTAGCAGCGGAGAGCCACTTTGTGGGTGTGAAGCTTTGAGAGCCGCTTTGTGGGTGTGAAGTTTTAAGAGTCCGTGCAAGTAGGAGATGGCACTCAAGGATCTTGTGCTGTCAGCCGCAGGGCACTGATTGTATCTCAGAGAAGAAAAGTCAGAAGTAAGAGAATCGTCCTCAGGGTCTTCATTTTCCCTTCCCCAGATTCACTCAGCTATGGTCCCAGCTCCCTCACCTGGTATTTTCTTTGCAGATCAATTGCTTCTCTCAGGAAAAGCAGGGAAAACGCCCTCGCCACCATGGGGCAGCATTTGTGAGGGGTGAACCCAGTTTCTGCTCTCACTGGTTCCTACCTTGAACAACAGAAGTGAGCAGAAAAAAAACGCTGCAACCCAGACACACACCGCGTGTCACGTGCTGAGGGGACAGAGACCCCAGTGAGCCCCACACAGCCGTCGCCTCTCATTCTTCCCCTGGCTCCCACTGCAAGATGCACATCTGCTTTGCCACCAGGGGGAAGACACGGCTCTCCTTCAGCCCGGGTCCAAGCCAGGGACTCCTGAAACAGAACCAGGACGGACAGGAGGCTGCTCCCCCCGAGACGCATCTGGCAGAGGGGAACTTTCAGCATAAGGCTTCTCTCCTGCTCTGGAGAATTCAATCTTCTCTTCAAGGCCTGGCTCAGCCTTACCCGCCCCCTTCCTGGACAGTCTCTGTTGGAGAGGCTCCGTCACTGGCCAGGTTGCCTGTCCCCCTGCGCCTGCTGAGTGAACACAAAAAGAGCAAGGGCCAGGACGCAATCAGCCGAAATGACGCCAAGGAGAAAAGCGACAGCTCCGCCGGAAAGGGTGAGACACTGGAAGTCTGAGTTCCATCCAAGGTCGGGGCATCCACACCGCAGCAGGAAGGGTATCTAAGGAACCGGTTGCCAGGAGCCGGGGAAAGGCTGAGCGAGAAACAGGCAGGCAAACAGACCATGCAGTGTGGATGGCCGGAAAAGCCATGCCCAGGAGGGAGAGCCCAGGACAGGCTCCGGGCTGGAGCAGCCCTGGGAGCCCAGGACCAGCAGAAGGCACCCCACGGCCACTGGCTGGCCACCTCAGCCCTCCACCCCCATGACTCCTCGCTGTCTGGAGCGTTTCCAAGGCTCAGCATGCTGAAGAGCTCATTTTACCAAGGGAAGGAAGGCACACTCTCTGTGCTTTGCTGTTGGGCCTCTCTATGAAATAATTGCAAAATGTGTGTTTCCAAGAGCCAATTTTTAAAGAAACATATTTACCTCTTCCCTACGCTGGATTGAAGCCCGGGCTAAGCGAACTCTGGCTGGGTGACGTGGAGAGTATACTCAGGTCTCCCGTCGCACACAGGCATCTTCCCATGAGCGCAAAGGCAGACAAACACTCCTGAGCCACCCGTCTGCTTCCTGTCCCTCACTCCGCGAGCCTCACTATGCCAGGCCGCCGTCACAGGCTGGTGCCAGGCCACACAGACAGGTGGGACAGCTCTGCACCAGCCAGGGCCAGGGAGTGGTAGAGCTGGCAGCTTCGCTTTGGCCCCTGCTCTGCGCCTTTCTGTGTGGGCCCATCACGGGCCGCTGCTTCTGGGGCTTGGCTCACCCTCGGAGCACACACACGGGATGGCCAAGTCCAGATCCGCGGAGCAGCTCTCAGGCAGACGGAAGATTCGCTTTCCTTTCCAGACATCCAGTGGGTGAGAACTCCACTCAGAGGAGGAGGAGACCAGAGCAGGTGTTCAGGCAAGGTTCCCGCCACGAGCTCAGCCCTGCCTTGGGCGACAGTGACGCACACCATCGGCGCCCTTGGTTACAACATTTATAAATTAGTAAGTTACACAAACACGGAGGAACTGGTGCTCTCTCCTCCTCCACTGGACGCGGTGTGCTTCTTTATGAAACGAACACTCTCACGGAAGTTCAGTTACTTGTAACTGATTCATTAGGAACTAACTCGGAGGGTAAAGGGATTCATCTTATCATGATGTCAGTCATTATGACTACACTAAAACACAGCAAGAACACTGTAAATAGTCATGAAGCAAAGTATTCCGATGAACTCTGAATCATTTTTGTGGTGAACAGAGGTGCCATTCGCTTTATACTGTGATTGTCAAGGGCCAAGTACTTAGTGGTATTAATGTTGGTTGGTTGGTTGGTGGTTGGTTGGTTGGTTTTTCTGGAGACCGGATCTCCCTTTGTAGTCCAGGCTGGCCTTGAACTCACTATAGAGCCTAGATTGGCCTTGAACTCACAGTGATCCTCCTGCCTCAGCCTCCTGAATGCTAAGATTATAAGCATGCACTGCCGCGCCCAGCTTAATGTCCAAGTAATTGGAATAAAATTAACTTATGTAAATCATGCTGGATATAATTTGGTCTTTTTAATATAAGAAATGGACTTTAAAATTGTCATTATAAGGGATGATCAAATATATGGTAAACATTTAAATTTTAAAATTGATTATAGTGAAGGACACACTGCCCTTAATTTCCCTCAAAATCTTCCCTCTCATTCTGGATACATTTGTCCCCAGGGTGAGTTTGGTCTGGAGAAGAGGAAGAGGAGAGAAGCCTCCAGGAACCCTACCAGACAGCTCCTGAAGACCACACACCCTCTTTTCAGCTCTGGGGCCACTGCCCATCAGGGAGAGGTGGGAGGTGTGGTCCTCTTCCTCACCCACAATGGTGGTCCTTTTGAGGAAGCACCAGGAAGGGGCTTCCCCACAGGGCAGGCGGAAGCCCTTCCCAAAGTCCCGTCAACACAGCTGCCTCACACTTCCCTGCAAACTGGGGGCAGGGCCACAGCAGCTGACCCCTCGTGTGTCTTGGGACTCTGTCCTTTAACTTCTGTTGTTCAAGGAAAGAAACGGAGGTGGCTGCTGGCGGGAGGTTGAAACTAACCACAGATCCTTTCTCCTCACATCAAAAGGCAGAGTGCAGCTCCTTCTCCTCAGGTTGGGTTGGTTGGCGGTGACCTCCTGTGACCTTCAGGAGGATGCGCCCAAAAGGATGTCATGCAGGTGTACAACTCCCAGACGGCCTCCTCCCTTCCTTCAGGACCCGGAAACCAGCTGGTCAGCCCGGTAGCCTGCCGGGAGAGAGCAGCCCCAAGCACGAGGGAGTCGTCATCAACCATCGGTCAATGAGAAGTGATCAAAAACTACAGTGAATGTTTAAATACAAGTATTTCTTTCAGTGAAAGACCCAGTGCCATTGTTTCCCCTCTGAGTACTCAGAATAGTCCCCCGCACGAGCCCACAGACCCCATGTGTCCTTTGCTGTCCTGATTTTTATTTAAACTTCCCTGTGATCTTTGCTCGCCCATCATAACAGCGCCGTTACTGTGCCTCCTCTGTCTGGGTCGCTGCACTTGGTAGGTTCCACGTAGGTATGCGTCGCCCCCAGCAGCAAGGGTCAGCACGGAAGAGAAGACTGAGAGTGAGAAGCCCTCAGGGAAGAGCTGCACGCAGAGCCCAGAGATCGGGAGCTGGAGAGGAGAGGCCCGGAGAGGGAAAGACCAGCAGGCAGGCAGGGGCAGCCCAGGGTTCCGGGAGGGCGAGCAGAGAGCATGCAGCCCTTCATCCCTGGGCCTCATCGGGGCTGGGGCCGGGGGATAATCTCACCCCAGCAGGAGCTTCCCTTTCTGCCAGGAGACAGAAGTAATGCAGGTGAAACCTTCAGAGAGGATTAAAGTGCCCCACGTGGAACAGTTCAGGCCTTCACACAGAACTGCTGGGGTCGGTTCACCGGCTCTCCCTGGCCTGGCCTGGAGGCAGCCGAGTCTCGCATCCTCTGTGGGTGGAGAATGGAGAACCACGCCCCAAGCGTCCTGCAGGTGCAAATAAACCTCCACTCTCCAGAAAGGTTTCGACCCTGCGGGTGTTTACGTGGGACAGTGAGATTTCTCAGCCAGCTTCTGACTATCGACTTTCCTCCCGGCAGTGGTGTTTGGAAACCCATCGCTCACACACTCTGCTTCACGAGCCATTCTTCCAGTCGTGGGCGTCTATTCCCGTGCAGGCAAAACGGAACCTCTCACCGAGGGGGAGATGAGCAGGCGGAGCGGGGGCGATACGGGAAGTGAAGGCGGTGACGGCAGGGACGCTGAGCACTGTCCAGAGACGTGAGGGGACTTATCGTGGGGTTAACAGAATAACCTCACATTCCCACGGGGGATCAGCTCAGATTCCCGCTCGTCACCGTCAGCATGGAGGAAGAGCACTGTGAGAGCCTGTGGCCAAAATAACTATCTGTTGCTACTGGCGACGGAGACTCAGAGCAGACTGAACGCCACAAATCTATGCTCCTTTTTGGTTTTCGGATGCTTGAGACATTTTAGAAAAAAGCCTAAGTTTATTTTTAGTTTTTATAGTTCAACTATTTCTCAGAAGGTCAGTAGGCTTCGGGAAGATTTATATCCCATATTTGGATTATGAAAGCTGTGTGTTCAGTAAGAATACTTGGGACTGGTGGTTGGGACTTCATTTACAAATGAAAGGAAAGGAGGTCAGATACCATCTGTGACCCTTCCGAGGGCTTATCATAGACCCTGACACTTCGAGGCCACAAACATTAAGTGTGGAAGTTTAGCTTCTTCCTCTTCACTGCCACTAGCGCCTTAGGTCTTTCTGTAAGCACCTTCCCTTCCCCAGGGGACTCAGAAACACAAGTCCTGCCTTCATTTCAATGCTAAAACACAAAGAGAGCAGAGGAGACTCCAAGAACTCCCCGGCAAGCTGTGTTCATTCAGATCCCCACAGAAGTTATTTCAAAATGTTGCTTAAGTCACAGCCTCATAAGATTCCTGGGAGTGACTGGCGACTGTGCTGACCAAGCCAGGGCTGAATAAGAAACAGGGGCCAAAGTTGGAGAAAGCTCAGAAACAACCAGGAGCAGGGGTCCTCTTTCTGTGCACGCTGTGAAGGTCGCTTTTGTTAATTAATTAAGCTCCTGATTTAATCAAGCCTGCCCTGCTTCATTCCTTTCCAAGCAGGGAACTCAGCAGGGGTCTAAGCTGGTTCCCTGCAGGACCGACTTGTCTGGACGTGTTGTGAAAACTGGGGGGTGGGGGATCCCCTGGAATCTACTGAGACACAGGATGGAGGCGACTGGGGGAAAGGATTCTTTCCAGGGCAGGAAAGAGACCCTGAGGGCAGACAAGTTTATACAGCACAGTAGCCCAGAGCCAAGGGTCACTAGGGGCCTCCAACTCCCAAATATTACACTAAGAAACATCAGGAGTGGGTTATAAAGCCAGGCAGATTTTATACATTCATATTTCACATAATGACATGTTTAGTTTTTAACACCAGAATAAAAATACACTGCAATGGCTGGTGCTATTCACAAGACTGACGGGTCTATATATAAGCATTGCTAATTGATAATTGATAATGCAGTGCACTGGTGGGGCCTGGTACCGGGCCCACAGGGAAGGCCGTGTGGGGAGGCTGTCTTCTCCAGCCCTGGTGGCATGTCTCAGATGCTGTCCTCATCCCACCCTGCCTGGTCTGTCCCTTGAGTGTCTTCTGGCTCCATCGCTGCTGATCCAGCCTGAATCTTATGTCAAGGGGCTGCAGGAAGAGTGAGTGGAAACCACAGGCCATTTCTGCTGAGCTCAGAGACGCTGAGCTCGCAGACCTGGTGCCAACTCTTGCTTCAGCAACTTTGGCGGCATTGGCAAGCGCAGAAATCTGCTCTGACATCGCTGCCTGGACCCGGCGTCGGGAGCCTTGGCACTGGTGCTGCCAGACATCCCAGTGGGGGACCAGCCGTGGGCCGACACCAAGTGGCTGCCTCTGCCTGGTGGAGGAGAGCACAGCTCTCGGTGTTGGTCAGGAGGATGACCACGAAGGAATCAGCACCCAAGGGGTGGCCAGGGAGGTCTTGTCCAGCACCCTCACACCGCCAGCCCACATCATTTCTCTCCAAGGCTGATTTTAGAGGCGGAGCACATAGGGGTGAGTGCACTATTCAGTTCTCTCATTTGGTATTGAGAAACCCCCGCCTCTGTAGATGTAAGTAAGGCTCATTCTCCTACACAAGCTATACCAGGAACTTCTCGAATGTCGTAACTTTAACTTTCCACGCTGCCTTTTTAAATTTCTAGGTGAATTCAGAACTCAGGAAGGAAAAGGGCTACTTGTCTCCCAACACCCATCAACCTCATCATCATCATCATCATCATCATCATCATCATCATCACTGAGTCCCCAGGCCTGGAGTATTATTTGGCCCTGAAGGACACCTGAAAATATATATGGAATAATGAATGAATGAGAAAATACACAACACTCGCTCCGGGACAATAGCAGAAACGCTTGCGAGGAATCTGAGGGGTGTGTAAGGAGCTCTGTCCTTTGAACAATGGCTTCACGGCTGTCCTGTGGCTCAGTGCTTACTGAAGACCGAAGTAGCCCAGGAAACACAGCTTATGCGTTTACTGATTCACACTCTCAAGACACAAGCCTGCACATTCACTGTGGAACAGGTGCACAGAAAGAGAATCCCCACCTCTAAGCAGTTCACACTCTCGTCGGTAGGCAGACTCGGTGTGAGAAGCTAAAATTCAATGTGCCATGATTTACTGACCATGTAAATCAGTTGTTAAAGTTGCATAGAGGAGATAAAAATTAATTCTGCCTGCCAAGAGAGTTGGGAACGCATCAGAAGGCTGAAGAGCAAAAACTATCAACTAAATCTGTTAGTTCACAATATGAAAAAGCAAGAGCTACCCAGGACATAGAGAACCACCAGTTAACCAGCTGTTCTCGAGGCCAGCAAAATGAGCCTGTTATAGTCAAGGTTTGCAGGGGAGTAGATTTAATACAGGACACGAAATTTACATGATAATTTTATGATAGTCACCCAAAAAGTCAAATACAGAGGAACACATAAGATCTGTCCACACTCTAGAGACCCAAAGAATCCTGGATCCCAGCAGTGTCCTGCACAAATCCAGCTAAAGAAGGGTGAAGGGGGTGAACGGAGGGCAGGGGTAAGGGGAAAAAACAAGAACCAAGACCTGTCATGTAAAGGCACAAGATCCCAGTGATGAATGTAACTATTGTTTGCTTTAAATGTACCAATAAACTTAATGAGGGAAAAAGCAAAACCAAATCAATCCAGCTGAAGACCTAGAGTGGGCTGTGATGTACACAGCAGCGTTACATGGTGGGGAAAAGGCTTCCTGGGACGTGACGCTGCTGTCACACATGGTGGAGCTGTCACCCTGGTCTGGCTGTGGACTAGGAACCCAGCACAAATCCACAGAAGCATTTTGTGAGGCTCAGTCGGCAGTGGGCCGTGCAGTGAGGTGTGCCGTGTGCTTTCACTGGTGATAGGAAGGTGGGTGCTGCACATTCCTCCCCTCCACAGGGCCCATCATGGGCACGGGAACTTACTCCTTTTTCCTGCTCTGGTACCCCAGGACCCAAGTGAGTAGTTTGCGCATTCCCTCACCTGTGGAGGGAAGAAGACGGAGGGAGAGGAGAGGAGAGTCCTCCTGGCTGTCACGTCCCTTGCACTTCAAAGCTAGAGAGTAAAGGAAGTGATAGCTGGGGGTCACCCGGGTGGAGATGCCCCACCCGCCTCCTGGTGTGGCTTAGGGCCCCCCAAAGCTGCCCTTCTGGCCAGCCCCCGCTTCCTGGCATCACACAAGGTGAGTGGTCCCTTTGGTGAGGCCGTCTCCAGCACTCTCCAGCAGCACCCCTGGCACCTGAGACGTATGTACAGGTGACGAGAGATGGCCTGAGGGTCACCAACTTCCAGAAAATCTTCTCGTGTCGGAGGGAGCCCAGCTGCTCTCACACAGCCAGACGGCATGGGACACAGGCACTGGGGGGAACCCCTGAGGGCACAGGACCCCAAGCTTGAGCTCAGCCTGGGCAACCTGGTGACTCAGAGAGACAGGTATAAAAGGGCTGGGGATGTAGCTTCATGCAAAGACCCTGGGTTTGACCCCAGTCCCGGAAGAAAACAAAGCAGGGCGGTGGAATTGCACAAGGAGAGGTACACGAGCCCCAGCCAGCCGGGCACGGATGCGCTGAGCCTGCACGTGAGAACCCAAGTGGAAAGGACAGGGTTGAGCAGGAACCCTATGTGCAGGGGCCCTGGGCCCATGGCGGTGAGTCCGGTAGGTTCATCAGAGGCCACAACTGTGCCCACGCT